ATTTCCTGGTAACCCATGAGATAAGGTGGTATTATTCTCCCCATTTTACAGGAGGGGATACTAAGGCTGAAAAATATTAAGTGATGTCTTATGAACACAGCCAGTAAGTAACGCTGAGAGTGGCATCCACATCTTCCAGCTCCAGTGACAAGCTGCCATGCGGATGCTGTCTCGGCCTCCCCATGGCCCTCCCCACAGGAAGCCAGTGTCTCTGTTGCCCTGAGACAACTGAGGCTCGGGGGTGGTAACTGGGTGGTGGAGGGCCTTCCTAAGGGAGCCAGAGCTTCGGCCCAGTCCTGGGACTTCACACTGTGCACTCCTTCCCATTGCTGCCCCGTGCTGCCCCCACACGTGCTTAGTTTATTAGCGGTTTATCGGTTTGAAGGTTAGTGGTTCATTTTTGTTAGATTCTGGCTGCTGGAGGCTTTGTTAACTTAAGAGTAAAACTTGAGAGATGAGATGTGCAATGAAGCTGTTCTTGAGAGTGCCTTTTCTTGGTAATATCTTTCAAGTTTTTGTTGAGAAATAAAGGTGCAAAATTCCAAGAAGTTTAGCTGCAGTCAGGGAGAGAGGCAAGGAAACCAATGATAGAATATGGTGACTTCCTCCAGATTTAGGGATCAGTGAGTTATAGCCATGTCTTTATTATTGAGAAATGAGGAAATAATTCTGTCAGAATTAAGACTACAGATGGCAGTAGGAGCCGGTGTCAGGAAGCTCAGAGTGTAGGCTAGAAGGAAGGGGAAAGGTGGGAGAGAGCCAGGGCAAGGTCCAGAACCTAACTGGGGATCTGGGACTCCATGAGTAGTTGACAATGGAGAGGTTCTAGCACTCAGACTTCAGGGCAAGGAAAAGGGTCAGAACAAATGAACAGCTGGGATCTGGGCTTAACAGACAGGAAAAAACAAGGCAGTAAGAGCAGGGGCAGTGCAAGAGGGAGCCAAGTTCTAGAGATGTGAAAGGGGCTGAGGAAGCCATGCCAAGTGAGAACGGACGCAGCCCATCAGTTCCTAGAGAGCACTGCCAACCACGCCCTGCCGAAGCTTCACGAGTAACAGCATATCTGAGTGGAGGAAACAACAGTTTTGGCTTGAAGAACTCTGTCCGCAAGTGCCACCCCATTCCATCAAAACTCTTCACAAACCCTGGGTAATGACAAGAACTGATGGGTATGTTTGCCACTGTATATCCTGCCTGTTTTCACCCTTTCTGAGCCAGAGTTGCTCATTAACAGTGTGATGGCAAAAAGGCAGGCTCAGAAGAGAAAAAGAAGTCTGGGAAACCAGAACTCTGGGTAACTCCACCAATTAAACCCGTTCTTGTATCCCTCCATTCATCATTCAGTAATCCAGGTCTCTTCTAAATATATTGCATCAGAACTGGTGGGGGACATAAGGAAAAAAGGGGTTGTCCTGTGGCTTAGGGATTTTTTCAAACCTTGGGTCATTTTCCACACATGCAAATTTCTTAGAGCACTCAGTCTTATCCAGAAACATCTGGTAAAGCTCGGGCAACCGGATCAAAGCCTCTTAGGGCCCTGGCTGGTATAGCTCAGTGGATTGAGTGCGGGCCTGCAAATAAAAGGGTCGAGGTTCGATTCCCAGTCAGGGCACATGCCTGGGTTGCAGGCCAGTTCCCAGCAGGGGACACATGAGAGGCAACCACACATTGATGTTTCTCTCCCTCTCTCCTTCCTTTCCCCTCTAAAGATAAATAAAATCTTAAAAAAAAAAAAGCCTCTTAGGAATCTGAGTGTCCTCCGTGTCGGAGCCAGTGAGCGAGTACAACTCAGTAGCAGTCTGAAGACGCTAATTCGGCCCGACTCTGCCCTCACCACCTGCCTAACTCGCACCCGTTTACTTCAAAAACGAGTAGTATCCAGTTGTGGTCCCCACAGAAGAGTGGTTTGGACTTAGCTACTGTTACCAGTTTATCGTTCATTATTCAAGGTATTTTGTCACCTCTCTTTTGTAGTAGTAAATTACAGGTTTAACATCTCAGTTATGAATTTTAGGAGTTTTGGTCAAGTTTTTTCTAAGCAGGTCTTAATTCTACATTAACATGCCTGGGGGGGGGAACCACTGAAAGTCTCCCCTTCAGCACAGTATTTAATACAAGCATCAAGCGATCATATCAAGTGCGGTTAGGCTCAAAGGCTGCTCTGCACCGTGGGAGTGTCGTGAAGGCTGAAAGCTTAGACTGTAGCTCTGGTATTAATAGTAATTGCTTAGGCACTTGCACAATATCCTGGAACAGCTCTTTGGTGAATGAAAAGAATAATTCAAAGCAAAGCAGACCAAATATAAAACACTTCCAAGGCACATTTCAAAGTAGCTCCTTTGTGGCAAAGAGGTACACATCTGCAGAGGGCATTTTGGGAGGACAGGTGGACAGTGTGGGGGCAACAATCACATGACCATCTGGTACTGTCTTCACGGCAGAGCGGTTCCGATGTGCTGGGTTCTTCACAGGGGTAGTGTAGAGCCATCGAGCTCAGCAATGGAACAGTGTGACTGGCAGCCTTCATTAACCCCCACGCTGATGCCGCAGACTGCGCTGAGAAACGGTTTTGAAGCACATCCGTGAAACCTGTGATCCTGTTGGTACCAGTGTTTTTTTCTTTGAGGTATCCCTTTACTTTTGAGGGTTTTTTTGGTTCAATATTTTTCAGACTTCTCTTCTGAGGCTAAATTAGGAATTTCTGTTCCTTATTTGAGTTCCAAGAATTGTGCCTTTCCTGCCCTCCGCCCAAATTGGGAGATACAAACCGTGGGAAAAAGTGTCTTTATAAACTGTATTAAGTAAGTTATCTAACTGGGTTTATTTGGCATAGGAAGCCTTTCACATCCACGGAATCCTCTTTTTCTTAATTATCTCTAAGCTAAAATAGTTTTATATTTTTTCCCTAAATGAGTCTCTGGGTCCTGCTGGCAAAGGTGGAGAGTGACGGGCACAAAGGCCGACAGGTAGTAAATCAACCTGGAGCAGCCTCATTTCTCTCTGTTTACGTCAGGGTCTCCCTTTCCAACACTCACTCTTCCTCAAATAGGAAAAGGGAGAGAAGGAAATAGAAAAAAAAAACAAGGCATATAAATAGCTTTGTGGGATTTCTCGAGGTCCTAAAGATTCTAAAGAATATGCGTTTGTGCAGTTCTGTTCTAGGCACTGCCGGAGCCGACCAAAAGAGAGAGCCTGTACCCTTCACCCACCCTGGTCATGCCTGGGAAGGATGCTGGTGCTAATTTTAAACCCAGAGACTCAGATGCACAAAGAACAAGAATCATAGAGCATTTTTGGAGCCAGAAACAGATTTGAGTCCCTTAACTCACTGCTGCTCTTACTGCAGACCACACCATTATACCCAAGTGAACTGCTGTTAAAATTGGTGCCTTCTGAGGAGACAATTGCTCATAATTGGCAGCTGTGAGCCACTTCACTAAGAAAGCCCGGGGTCTTGGATGCTGTGAAGAATCACCAACAGGCTGAGGCCTGAATGAGTCAGGCTTTTCTGAGTCACAGGACTTTCAGGTCAGTCTTTCAGACTGACTCAGATCTTGTTTTCTTCCTCCTTCAGGAAAGACAAGGGCCTAAGGCAAAGATCTCTCTGAGGCAGATATCAAGAGTACTTCTGGCCAGTGTTAACCCCAGTGTGGTTATCAGATCACCTGCTAAAATGCCTCAGCGTGCTTGTTAAACGTGAGGACTCCTGGCGCTCACTCCGCCCCACCCACACTGCAAGAGGCAGGAGGCCAGCCTTTGCCGCCAGCATTCCAGGGGGTTTCCCTGGGAACCCAAGTCTGCCTCGGACTTCTCCTTCAGACCAGCATTTCCCCAACACACGCCACCTGGCTTACCTGGAGAGACTTTAAAATGTAATTACTCAAGGAGTACACACAAAGTACAGAAACAAAATCTATGAACGTATTAAATAAAATTAGATGTCTGCCTGCTTGCCACTGTTTGGTGTTACTCTTCCAGACTTTTATCCTCTAAAAGTACACATTTTGTTTTAAAGATCATACCATGCATATTACTCTGCACCTTGCTTGTAACTAACAATATGAAATGGACTTCCTTATAAACCTAACACATTAACACAAGGCTCACAAATCAAATGCCCACCCGGGTTCGGCACATCACACAGTTAAACAGACCCAGGAGGAGCTGCCAAAACACTCACTGGAGGTTCTCCATCTAACGGCATCAGAAGCTCCCCGGCTCCGCCAGCTGCTGCCTCTTGGGAACATGGGCCCAGAATCACCAAATTTTGAGTTCTCAAAAGAATCAAGAAATCTAAATGGTTTAATGTGCAATCTCCACATATTTAAATATTGATAACTAATTCAAATTAAATACTTGGTGAACCAGCAGCCAAAATGTCTCCAATCCAGGCAATGGCCTCAAGCCACCCTTTTGAGACCTTGACTGCAGTGGAGACATGATGTTCCACGGTGTGTTGTAATTATTTTAAAACCTTTCTTGCTTTCGACTAACAATACAGAATGTTACTGCTGGACACATAGGCTGTGACACTGCAGCTGCTACAGTGGAGAGTCCCGTCCATACCTGTGTGCTTGTACAAATAACAGTAGATGTGCAGGCTCAAAACTGCCCTGGAAAACACTGCACCAGGTTACAATCCTATTAACAGTACACCAGAGGGTCCTTTTCTGGGAGCTTTAAACGGATTCCCAGGCGCCCCCCCAGAGATCAGATGTAGTGGGTCTGGGATGGAGCCCAAGAATGTTTGTTTTTTTAAGCTCCCAGATGGTTCTGAAGATCAGAGACATTTTAGAATCACCGTCTTAGAATTACTAACAAATTGTTTGGGGCCGTTTCCAGTAAATCTGAATGAAACTGTAAATACTCTCATTTGTACTTCTGTTTTAGACGGTTACTTCTAGTTACAGCCCTCTACGAAAACGAGACAAGGGCTCTGCTGCTGCTGCTGCTGCTCCAGGCGGTTCAATCAGAGCAGAACAATAAATAAACCAACTCGGGAACCTTCAAGCAGCTTTTATTGGCACAGCCTATGAAAAGGTGTGGTCGCCATTTCTGAGCAAAAACCTGTATCCCAGCAAGCTATTCAGTGTTATGTTTAACACACCAGTGAACCAGAAAGTTTAAGTTCCTGAAACAGACACCCTAGGTCACTAAGAAGCTCCAAAACCAATAGGTCAAGCCCTGCTTCTCTCTGCAGATCTGAAAGGCAAAACAAACAAACAAACAAAACCCAAACCAGTCCTGGATGTGTGTCTCTGCTGTGGGATGACTAAAACGGCAGGAAACAGGACCCAGTTTTTTCAGCTGACCCCAGTCATCCCAAGAAACAGCGTTTCGGCAGCAGCACGGAAGTCTCCTCTCCATTCTGTGTGGGCCTACGCGGGTCTGCTCAGGACGCGCAGTGTCACAGGATGTGGTCGTCGGGGTGGTACAGCTCACTCATCAGCCGGTAGATGTAGGAGGGAGCGTTCCCACCAATGTTGGAGATAAAGAGCGTAATGAGCTCCGGGGGGACATAGTCAAACACAGGGCAATGAACACTGACTTTCTCCAGGATGTCCCCTGGAAGGCAATCACACATGGTAAGGATAAAACTGAGGATCCTGCTCCAGTGGTTAAGCGGTTGGTATATAGATTCTAGGCTCAATGATGCAGACGTACTTGCTATCCCAGGGAAGGGGAAGCTGCAGCGGAATGCAGACCACAGCAGATGACTGCAGACCATGACACTGCCTGATTAAAACCCTTCCATGCCTTTCCTTAGTCCTTGCAATTCAAACTGGGGGGCTGCAGCCTTCAAGATCTGACCCCTCCACGCCACACCACACTAATTACAAATCGTGCCACTCTGCCTCTTGCTCACTCCTCTTTGGCCACATGGCCATGTTTCTCCGGCTGGCTAAGCATGTACCCAACTCAGGCCCTCTGCGCCAATGCCTTGATCTTCATGTGAGGCCCCATGCATGCAGAACTCAGCTGAAATGTCATGTTGTTAAGACCCTCGCCCATCTAAGGTAGTCTCCCAACCACCTTCCAACTCATCATCCTTATTCGCTTCTTCCCTAGAATATCCCATGACCTGACATGTTCTTGTCCCTCTACTGCAACAGAAGGGTAGCTCTGTGGGAGCAGGGTCCATCTGCAGTGTTCACTGTTAATCCCTAGTGCCTAGAAAGTGCGAGGCACAGTGGGTGCTCGACACACATGATTTCTACAAGAATGAACGTTTAAATAAATGGATGAAGTTATTCACCTGAAGAACTACCACCCTGAATACTGTGCTTTGCTCCCAGAGGGTGCTGAAGACCATGTTAACTATCAGTGAGGCTCACTGAACACAGCTGCTGCCTTCAGAAGTCAGAGAAAAGGGCTTAACACACAGAGGCATCCAAGTTATAGGCAAGTTTTACAAGTAGGAACATTTCAGAGTCTGCTTCCTCGGGCAGCCACGTCGCCAAAATGACTCCTGACAGCAACCAAAAATGAGTACGTTTCCCACGGGTTGTTGCCCACGTCTCGGACGACATGCAAAGCTGAACCCAACCAACACAGGGTGATCCAAACTGCCATGGCTCCAATACCTCAGCTAAAATATATTAGTTTTGGAACAAAATTAAACTAGATCAGGTCTCCAGGCGCTCTAAGCTGCTAAAGAGAGCAGGCCCCACAAGTACAGTAAAGAGCACAACCCGGCAGCACTCAGTCCCACTGACCACCAAACCCAAACGCCAAACACACCCACGCACGCACACGCGCGCACACTTCTGTACCTTCTGTGAAGGGCAGGACTTCTTCGGGAGCCACAAACTTGTGAAATGAGTCTTCTTCATTGGGGAACTGGAAAAGAAAAAAATTTAAAAAAACAAGACACAGCAATTCTATCTCTAGGTATATACTCAACAGAAATAAAAAGCACATGTCCATACCAAAATGTACACTCACGTGCTTACACCAACTTTATTCACAAAAGCCAAAAGACAGCAAAAACCCAAATGCCTGCCAATAGGCAAGCAGGTAAAGCGTAGCACATCTGCACACAGGACAGCACGCGGCCAGAACAAGAAGCCGAGCGCTGCACTGTGACTCGCTGCGACTCGGGGGAGCCTGGGGCACACCGCGCTAAGTGAAGGAGATCAGAACCGAAAGGGCACAGTGGACTCTGTTTACATCTGATTTCCTGAACAGGTGAACCCATGGAGACAGCAAGCAGATTAGCGATTGCTAGGAGGTGGAGCAGAAGGGAGAAAATCACTTATAATGGGTGCACAGTGTTTTTCTGGGATGATGAAGAGTTTTGAAACCAGGGAGTGGCGGTGGCACAATGCTGTGAATGCAGTAAAACCACTGAACTGAACATATAAAAATAGTTAATTGTGTGTTATGTGAATTAAACCTCAATTTAAAAAGAGACCTATAAATAGACTGATGTTTTAAAGCAAATAGTTTTTATCACTAATGAAATGACTCTTCACTGAGGAACTGCTGGCGTTCAGACTTCAGAGAACAATCCCTGGAGCGAGGACAGAGAAAACAACTTGTACGTTCCTACATGGAACTCACATGGCGTTTTGCAAGGTGGTCAGGGAGGTGAGGAGTGGCGGGCAGCAATGTGAACAATGGGCCACCCCCAACTATGTATTCTCTTGACCTTATAATTTCGACCTCTTAAAGCTGACAGGTTATAAATATCAATTGTTTTTCCTGGATCAAGACTCCTGGAGCTTTTTCTAGCCTCTACTGGATCTAATCCACTGAGTAAATGCAGATAAAAAGAAGCTCCAGAGAGAGTAGGCTGAAGGCCCAGAGATCAAGCCCACACTCTGGCTCCCAACTCCCCGTTGGTTAAAGGCAGGTGGACGTACCTGTGGTGAAAGCTTGAACATAGGGGCACAGACAATGAGTGGAGTGGAATGGTGCTTTGCTGCCAATGCCAGAGTGTGTGTTCCTGTCACAGCTCTGAGGGCACCGTTGGCCAGGATGGTCTTTGTGCCAATGATCACCTTTGAGACAAAAAAAAAAAGTGAGCCATCTGGGGATAAAGCCTTAAAAAGGGCCATTGGGCACAACAGCCTTAAGGCTCAGGCCTGACTCCTGACATCCTGAGGGGCCACACGGCAGTAGGAGTGAAAGAGACACTAGGCTCAGGAGCACCAGTCCTAGCTTAAAAGTGGGTTCCCGAGGAAAGACTGAATGTGGTACAAGACAGAAAACTGCATCTGCTGCTGGTAGCCTTGTCTTCTAAAAATCACACCTCCCAAGAAGCAGGTCTTTCTCATTCTCCATCCACCTTCACTGAGCTCTCTGGTCAAAAGGGGAAGCCCTAGTAGCTGTCTGACTCAGAGCAGTCCCACTTCATTCTACCAGTGCTTTAACCACAACGAAGGTATTGCAAATGAACAATGACACAAAGAAAAAGAATTCAGTTAATAGATTAAAAAGGCCCAAGTATGTACTTTCAAAAAGTGCCAGAAGCTCTTCTCATGGACATTATAGAAAGGACAATAAAAACGAGTATTTCATAGATACAATCCTCATTAACTCAACCTAACTCCAAAAACACCCACCTTGTTGACTCTTGACATCACAGCAAAAATGGCAGCATCAGTCATGACAGTTGTCTCGATGCCTTCTTTCGACAAATTGACTGCCATTTCATGACCCTGCAACAGGAGAGAAAGGCTCACGCTGAGACAACAGGTGAGAGACCAGGAACGGCCTCTCGGACACGACTGGATCTGGGGAGTTCTGTGATACCGGGCACAGGCAACAGACAGGTCCCAACACATAACTCACTCACTTTTCTGCCTGTGGCAGGTATTCTCTGGTAAGCTACAAGGAAGCCCAGAGGAAGCTAATAAATATTTCATACTCCACTACAGCACCGGAGCTGCCACAGAACTGGAAATACTACCTGTGTCCACAATCAGGCATCGCTGACAAGAAGCCCTGGCTCCTTATTTACTTCTATGTAAGGACATTTTATTTCCTTACATATTTCCTTTTTTGAAACCTACTATTTACCTAGGGATTGAGATCAAGCCAAGACTTGGTCATCCAGAAGGTAATTTACCCTATTTTGATACCTGAGCAATACCAATGTTTATCTTTCCATGGACCCAGCAGTTCGCCCAACTTCCTTAAGCCAATGTTTAAGAATGTTCACAGGATGAACAACTTGAAAATCCCTTTAATGTTTTATTTATCTTCTCAATGTCTTGCTCATCAAGGTCAACATGGAGCCCACCTATCACTCCTTTATTCTCTCACTTTTTGTTTTCCTTAGCAGCCGCAGCAGTCCCCCTACCTGACAGAAAGGAGCACACTCTGCCACGATGACGTGGAACTTCCTCTTCTGGGCAGCCTCTTTGAGGAAGGCCTCCACTGTTCGGGAGAAGCCAATGGTCATGATCACCTCGTTAGAATGGATGTGCTCCAGGGCCTGGGCTGCGATGTTCTCCATTGTCCCTTCTGCAAGAACAGTCCGTTTTACAAAGACAATGGGGAACTGCCATGTCATAGCACACACAGATGTGACAGAGCCCCAAACAGGGTGCATGCCCACCCGGCTGGCCCTTGCGACGCAGGCTTCACAAACTTAATATGAAATGTGACACTTTCTTAAAAACCCTGCTCCTCTGCGATCTTGTCTGCCAAGTTCTCAGGCTGCCCTCTGCCCCAGCGGTACCCCCCCCCAACTTACCTACCCCCTTGCCCTGCCCTGCCATGACACCCACTCCTTTACAACCGACTTTGAAGATAGTGACTTCAGGCAAGAAATGGTCCAACCTGGGAAATCCTCAAGTGCTGAGTGTGGGGTAAACAGAACTCCCACCTAAAAAATATCCTCCAAAAGGTGACCACAGAACCTCCACCTGAGAGTCACAGAAGAAAAATAGGGGAGGAATTTGGAAGCAGCAGCTCAGGGCACAGACAGTGCCCACCTCTTCCCCTCCGGAAGAACTCTCGACTACAGTGAGTACCTGCCAATGTCCTTGGTCACAAAATCAAGGGGAATGGAGGTGGTGTGAGCAGGCACAAAAGTTCAAGAGGAAGTTTAGTGAGGGTCTAACTAGCCATGGTTTTAGGGAGTTCATCTCCTTTAAAATGATAATAAAGCCCTGTCCTAATGGAGTGTCTGCCATACTGGATTTGCGGTCTACAAAGGGCTGGTCTGTAAGGAAATGGAGACAGAGTACCATAGTCCTACCACCTGTTCCCACCTTTCCTAATCAAGAGGGAAGGGAGACCTCTGAGAGCCAGAGTACGTACGCATCATCTCCCAACCCTGTGGACAAACAACCCCAAGATATTCTATTGTCCTCTCCTGTCCCTGCAGCTTGTCCTGCCCACCAGGAATCAGGCTCTTACCCAGTTCCACAAGCAGCTCATTAATTGCCTCAATGATGTTGGACTGCAGTTGGGCATAATGGATGCTGAAATCCTCGCTCAGGCCTCCGGATGTCAAGAGTTTGTGCAGGGACTCCTGCTGGTCACTCTCGTCGCTGCGTCCGTGGAGTCTGTGGAGGCAACACGACACAGCAGAAGGTGTGAGGGCCGTGCGATGTGTAACAACACCTGTTCAGCTCCAATTAAGCAGAGATGGGGGCACGAGCAAAAAAGCGTCACTGGATCCAAACCGGAACCCGTGATGTGGACCTAACCTGCCATACTCCTCGCGGATGATCCTGAGTACTCTCCGCACCATATTGCCCACGGTGGTCTCCGAGGGCTGCGCGGCAGTCATCCTCCGGCCCTCTCTGCGGATCAGCTTCATCAGCTCCCCTTCAATCCAAGCCAGAGAGGGTAAGCAGAACAAGCGCGCGGTGAGGCCCGGGCGACTTTCCGCCTGGGAATAGGGAACGCAAAGTGGCAAGGGTCACGATGGAGCCAGGCCCGCCTTACCTGCGTGGCTCCAGCGGTGGTCCGTGATAATCCGGCGCAGCAGCTCCAGGGTCTCCCGAGCCATGTCCTCGGAGGTGCGCCGCCCGCTGCCTCGCTTCAGGGCCTCCACGAAACTTTCGATCCTCTCGGACAACTCCGAGACCTTGGTCTCGGCTCCTGGCATCTTGAAAGATGCCGCCTTGAAGGCGGACTCCACTTCAGCAAGACTCCGGGTTTGCACTTCCGGGGTGGACCAGGTCGGCTTCCGCTCAGTCAAAACACTCCAGCTGGGGAGACGGAGAGCCACGCCCCTCGCTGGCTGAGCCAATCAGAGACGGGAAGCTCTAGTTCTTTACAACCCAAGATCTGCTATGCTAGGCTTTGGACAGAAGTGGAGCCGGACTTTGCGGGCTATTCAGACGCTGAGGAGGTGCCTCGAGAGACTACAAGAGGGTGGTTAATCCAGTTGGTCTGGGACAGCCTGTCTTTTCAGCTGACAGTACAACCCGAGGCTATGCTGGAGAAGCTGCAGCCTTCTTTCCTGGTCCCCTAGCTCCGGTGACCGTCCCATTGTCCTTACACAGACGCTCAGAAAGCGCGTCCAGGGCAGACCCCTTCCACCTTTATAATGCAGTATTTGTGCTTGTGCCTCTCCAACAGACTCAGCCTCCTGAAGGCAAGGACCTTGTTTTTTATGCCTTTGCGATCCCGATGCCTAGCTCACCTAAGATAAGACAAAGGGGTTAAGAACCGGGAGACCTATACCCACCAAAATAAGAAGATTAAAAGTGGGAGGTAACGGGAGCAAAGACAATGTCCTTCCATTTGGACAGAATACAGAGGCTGTACAGTATGATACAATATCAAGAGCTACTATTTACTCATAGCTTACGGTTTGTGAATTGTCTTATACGACTCTGAGATATGTCCTCCTCTTCTTGTTTTACAGATTAGGAAAGTGAGCCACAGAATCTAAGCAGTTGGATCTAAGTGGATGCAGTTATATTCAAATCCAGGGTTGTCTGAACACAAAGTCTGTGTGTGATGAGAATCTCTAACTATTTCATTTAGATAAATTCTTAGAAGTGGAATCTTTGGACACATATATTTTAAAGACTTGTTACAAGTGACAAGCTGCCCTCGGAAAAGATATATCAATACCAAATCAGACGATAGTTCAAGAAAAACAAAACAAAACTACAGACAAGTATCCCTCATGAATAGCAGACACAAAAACTGCAGCAAATTATTAGCAAATCAAATCCAGCAATTCATAAAAAGAAATTCATTCATGTCAAGTAATGCATAAGACAATTTAAATCTGTAATGCAAAGCTGTTTCAATATTTTAAAATCAATTTAACAAACCATTTTAGGGTTTTTAACAACCTAAAAAGTTGAAACAAATGATTACATCAATTGATGCAAGAAGCACCTGACAAAATTCAACAACCATTTAATTTTTAAAAACTCGCGGAAGTAAAAATAGAAGGGAACTTCTTCAATTTGATAAAGGGCACTACAAAATCCTAACATCATACTTTATGGTGAAAAACTGCTTTCTCCCTAAGATTAGGAACAAAACAAGGATGTCTACTCTCACCATTCCTATTTAACATCATACTTAAATCCTAGCCATTGCAATAAGGGAAGAAAAAAATTTTAAATATACAGCAGAAGGAAAGAAAACCCCATGTTCACAGAAGACATTATCAATTCCATAGAATATTTCAAAGAATCAATATTAACAAAAAAGCCTCCCAAAACTAAAAAGTGAATTAAGCAGGGATACAAGGCCAACACACAAAAATCAATTACAGACTTCCAATCAAGATGGAGGTGTGTAATCCAAAGCCATAAATCTATATTTTCTTATAAATACTTTAAAATTTTGCCTTTACACATAATTTGGAATTACTTTCTATATAAGATGAGAGATGGAAATCCAATTTTACTTTCAGTTTACATTGTTTCTCTTGACTTTCAGTACTACTGCTCTAGTATGTCAAGTCTCTATAATGTGTGAGTCTGGGGCCTCCACTTTGTGAAGAGTTTGTATAAAGTCTCTTGCTGGTTGCTTGACTCCATTATTTCTATGGAGTCAATGGAGGAAACAAGACCAAAAGAGGGAAGTAGGAGGAGGTGTGATGACTTAAGTACCATCACAAAATTATCCACCAACATTTTAATACACAAAGGATCCATAAAAGTTGCTTAATTTGTCACTCAACCATTATCATATTAATTACTATTGTCTTATTTTTTCATTTTGTTTATCATCTGTTAAAAAATTAGTGCCATATTCTCTTCTTTTTATATAATTTTAAAAGATTTAATTAATTTTTTTAGAGAGGGGGAATGAGAGGGAGAAACAGAGAAAGAGAAACATCCATGTGCAAGAGAAACATTGATCTGTTGCCGCATGCCTGATCCACAACCCAGGCATGTGTCTTGATGGGAAATCAAACCAGCTACCTTTCCTTACACAGTCCGGCACAGTCAACCACCAAGCCACACCAGCCAGGGCTGTATTCCTCTCCTTAAGAGTGTCTTGACTAGCCCTGGCTGATGTAGCTCAGTTGGTTGGAGTGTTGTCCTGTAACCAAAGGGTTGCAGGTTTGATTTCCATTCAAGGCATACCTAGATTTCAGGTCCAATCCCCAGTCTGGGTGCGTATGATCCCTGGTCTGGGCTGTGTATAGGAGACCACCAACATCCAACACTGGTGTTGCTTCCTCTCTCCCTCCCTCTCAAAAGCAATAAAAAAAAATCTCCTCAGGTGAGGATAAAAAAATAAGAAAATAAATTTTTAATAAAAAGAGTGTCTTGACTAGTTTTGGGCCTTTTCTCTTCCATATATATTTCATTAATAATTCGTCTATTCCTCAAGAAAATGCTATTGAGATTTTGATTTTAAATCTCTAAATAAGTTTGAGAAGAATTTACATTTTTAAGATATTGAACCTTTCAATCCATAAACATGGTATATGCCTTCATTTATTTAGATCTTCTTTTACATGGTTCAGTAAAATTTTATAATTTTCTTTATGTAGGTCTTGCACATCTTGTGTAAGACTTATCCCTACACACCTTATATATTTTTGCTATTGTAGGTGATTATCATTCTTTTCATCATTGCTAAATTGATTGGGAAATTTTTAAAAATAGTTTTAATTTGCATTTCGTCTTAATCATTAATCATGATAAATGTTTTTTCATGTTTATTTACCATTTGTATTTCTCCTCTTATGACTCGCCCATTTTCTTTATGTGAGGTATAGTAGACATTCTAGTTGTCCACCCAGTATCCATTTTTTTCTTCCTTATTAAAAGAATGGATTTTGTTTTATTTCTACGGAGAGGGTAAGTGGTTTTAGCTTACAAGTAAATCCCGATTTGTCTCAGCCAATTATGATACTTTCTTTATCCTTTTCTTACAGACTGGTGTAGGATAACCCATTTTCTATCTAGTGGAATATGAATGAGGTCTATCTGGGAGTTCCTGGAAAGGTTTTCTGTTCTTAAGAAAACACCCAGAAGACTACTCGGTCTCATCCATCTCTCGTTTTATTGGATGTACTGCCCAGAGTCACTGCAGCTATCTTGTGGCAGTCTCCAGACTGAGGGTAAAGTTGACAGGTTGAGTATGGCAGAATAGAAAAAAGAACAGACAGAACCTAGACTCTTGATGAGATCAACACTCAATAGGTAGTTTACATATATTAACTCTTTTCATCCTTACAACAATCCTATGAAATCCTATCCTCTCAGTATAACCATTTTCAGAAGAGGAATGTGAGGCGTAAATAGGATAAGTAACTTGCTCAGTGTCACATGCCCAGGAAGTGGGAGAGCTGGGATGTAAACCCACCAGGCTAGCTTTGGAGCCTGCGCTGTTGGTCTGTGTAGAGAGCTGCCTTTTATTAAAGTCATTGTGCGAAATCAACAAACCCAGAAAGTTGCCCTATCTTTACACTTTTTATTATATTAAACAATACATTTCTCTATTGCTTATATAATTTTCGGTTGAGTTTTCTGTCACTTGCAGCCCAAATCATCCTGAATTGGGCATTTCTCTTCTTCTGGTTGATTTGTAAGATCTCTTTATATATTAAGGATACGAACTGTTTGACTGCAATTCATGTTGCAATATTAGTATTTTTAGAAACTTTGCCCAATTCTCGTATTGCTGTGGGACTGGGACACACCCCCGCAGCAATTGAAACACCTTTCAGTAGGACAGTTTAGAACAGGGGTGTCAAACTAACTTTTACCGGGGCCACATCAGCTTTGTGGTTGCCTTCAAAGGGCCGAATGTAATTTTAGGACTGTATCAATGTAACTGCTCCTTAACTAGGAGCAAGGAGCTTGGTGCTGCCACAGGGTAGAAACAAGGTGCCAGGCCAGATAAAACAAGGTGGAGGACCGGATTCAGCCCACAGGCCTTGTGTCTGACACCTGTAGTTTAGAAAAACATAGCAAAAGACTTCAAAATGTTCATTCATAACTCTTAAACCAGTATGCCTATGTCTAGAAATTTATTCTAAGGAAATAATCAGAAATAGAAAGTATTACCTACAATAATATTTCTACTTCATTATTTATAATACAAAAATTCCTAAATATTCAAAATTAGGGAATTATAGTACAGCCAGACAATGAAATACCATACTTTAGAAGAATATTTAATGAGATAAAATGCTTAATGATAAGGAGAAATGTTGACAACACATTAAGTTTAAAAGGCAAGTTGTAGGACTTATGGATGCATAGGTAGACACACTGTGCCTCCTCACACAACCAGAAGAAGGACAACAACAAATTTAAAAACAAAAAACAACCAGAACTGATGGAAAATCAAACTGTATGGAAGTCCAACAGCCAAGGAGTTAAAGAAGAAACATTCACCCATACAAGTAGGAGGGGCAGAAATGGGCAGCCAGGCAGCTGGGCAGAGAGGGCAAGCTGGTGGCTGGTGGACCAGGTGGTCCCACGTTCACAAGCAGATAAACCAGGAGGACCAACTGGGAAGCAAGACAAACAGTGCAACCCAGGGTTCCAGTGCAGGGAAATAAAGCCTCAAAACCTCTGACTGAAAACACCTGTGAGGGTCAAGGCTTTGGGAAGAACTCCCAGACCCACAGGGTCCTAGAACATACACACACACCCGGGAATCAGCACCAGAAGGGCCCAGTTTGCTTGTGGGTAGTGGTGGAAGTGACTGAAAGCTTGCAGAGAACTGAA